CTGGAGCTTATCCCCAGTTTCTGTAGTGTGAAGCAGATGAGAGTTGTCCTCCCACTGGACGGGACACTAGTCCATCGCAGGTTAGTCTCCAGCAGTTTGCTGGTACCCACTGATACAGCTGGGTGGACTGAAGCAATGTAGCTAAAGTGCCTTGCCCAAGGACACAAGCGAATCTGCACAGCGGACACTCGAAACCCCGACCTTATGATTGAAAGCCCATACCTAAACCGCTGCGCCAAACTGCCGATACTAGTAGATTTTTAACTACTTGAGAATATTTTTTTTGCATCAAACATTTTCAATGGGGGAAGGAACTGAGGACGAGTATTTCTTTTTTAGGGTGCGCCCCTCACCCCTAGATACACCACTGATCTGTCCATTTAAAAGGAGTAACATAAATCAGATCTTTCCAGCGATTTTTTACACCTTAAAATTACCAGTCAATACAAAGACCAATGCAAAGAATAACTGTATTATCAATAATATTTGTGTCTGGTAATTGGCTAGAATATTTCCTCATTCTTCTTACTATTTCATGTACCATCTATAAATAAAATATGCCATCGAGTAAAAGTATTAAAATGTATTTATTAAAATGGTAATGTGGAAATTATCTAAATCAAAAAAATATTTTATACTGATACACAATATTTGAATTACAATCAACAGAAAGTGACTCAATACATACAAAATGAATTTTTTGTGTTTTTTGTCTTTTCCTTGCTTTTTATTTAGCCTTTTTCGTTGTTTTCTTAAGGTCTATTACGCATAGAGAGCTCGTTTATTTATGCTATAAAAGTCCATCTATTATTATTATTATTATTATTATTAATTTGCATTTCTTTCAAAACACTTATTAATTATATTCATATTTTCCTGCATTTTTTGAATTGAAATATTTTTTCAGGCCCTTCATGTTACCACTTTATACAGTGATGAAAATATATTTTGCAGCAATTTTTACACATGAACGAAAGAAAATTCAGAGAAATATGACAATGGTGTAGACAAATTATCAATCAAATAATCAATCAATCAATCAGTCAGAGTCTCTTAGCAAGTCTTGGCTCTGACTATGAAGACAAGTTCTTTTAATTGCTTCCTATCTTCTGCATGTGATTTAGCTGTGGAATATTTCTGTCATCTCGCAATAAATATCACTCCAGGTTTTCCCCAACCTATGGTCCAAGAAGTATTGCATATGAATTGCTTTATGTTTAAAAACTGCTAAACAGTCTTTTTATCAGAAACCATTTTGGTTGCAGTTTGGTAAATGCCAAGATATGATGAAAGAATGCCGCACATAGCAGTGATTGATGTCGGAATCTTTCCAGACCAGAGGAATCCGGGTGGTAACCAGTTGACTGCATTGCAGAGGTCTGCGATGTTCTTGAGCAGATCTAATCTCATGTTATACTCATTTAGTTTTAGTTCTTGTACTGACTTTGTTAGACTGGTAGATTTCACTTCCAAACTGCAATTTTAAAATAAAATAATTTTAGTCATACTAAGGGAGTTAGATCAATCACAGCAAAGATAATAAATAGCAGAAGATAGAGCAGCTTCCCAATAAAGTGGAACATTGGAAATGCCTTGTGGGTACACGGAGAGCAATTTTACCCTGTCCATGTGGCGGCGCTATACATCAATACAGTAGTAAAGATGCTGGTTCGTTTGTTTCCTGTATCTCTCAGTCAAATGGTCAAATTTTACCCCGCTTGCGGGAGGGCGGATGTTCCATCAATTTTCTTCTGCTAAGTTCTTTGATCACAGTTAGTTTGCAACTGTTTTGACTAACCTGGAGTCTTCAAATCCTCCTTCTATTGTGATTTGTTTTTGCACTTCCTGTGTTGTCTTTCTCATTGCCCTCAGACTGATAATGTTCCTAATGAAAACATAATTTTTCAATACTATTTGATAATAATAATATAATGATATAATGATAAGGATGATGATACTGTATAATAAATAATTATTGTTAAATGTTATATCATTAATTTTAACTACAACTGCAAATGATTTTGTTAATTATATATATTTTATTAGCATTACCATTATGGTATTATTTCACATTAAAATCTGAAAGTACAGTATTCTATTTCTTTCTCACTTTTATTTAAAATAAAAAAAAATATATACAGTATAGTACAGTATATACCACACTATAAAATACGTATCAATTAAGAATGCATAAAAAATAAAATGAGACATGTTTATTTATATATAAATACTCCCGAGACAAGTAGCTAAATATAATTATTAAAAAGAATAACACACGCAAGGAAGGGGCAGATCACGAACACTGAAAGATTACAGACGGCAAGACACACGACACAAAACAGAACAGAGACACAAACGGCTTACTATTACCATTCTAGTTATTTACTGATTATAAATCAATACTTATTTCTATATCACCTTGTGATAGCCAGGGTGAGGGCAACTGCCCAAAGGGCAATGCAGCCAGCCATCCACTTGCCTTCATTGTACCCTTTCAGGACTTTTGCATGGGCTAGCCAGGCAACATGTTCAACGGGAAAGAATATTTGATAAGCAAGGTTTTCAAATGCCTTCAATAAACCGACACCTAGCACTTTTTCCTGTAAAAAATAAACGCATTGTTTAGAACTAGTTTGGTTGGATAGGAGTTGGAAAAGATGTAGCCACGGTCTTCAAATATTTTTTGATCCTCCAAAAGAGATGAATGTTTTGATCCTGAAAAAAGTATATAAAATACTATAACCAAAACAAACATTGAATGCAATAAAATACATTTTCCCACAGGAAGTCCAATTGACTTTTCAGATAAGCCACGCCCCTTGGATATTGTTGCTAAGGTCCCCCTAAGCAATAGCATAATATACATAAATATGTGGGACAACACACGTTTGATTCTTGGCACTGTTCTGATTGGTCAGTTAAGTTTGATTGACACCTGGAAAGGTTCATTGCGGATCCAGCTTAGTCTGTGTGTGTGTCGATGCCATGGAAGTTTCGGCATAATAATCTAATTATATAAATTAGTTATCATTTCACTTGATAAATTTTAATACACATTGCCAACTGACATCAGCCGAACTATTCTGTTTTAAAATTACAGAAGGTTGAAACACACTCTGGATATTGTTAAACAAGTTTAAGTCTGCATTATTATAAGGATAATGGGGTTCAAAGTGTATATCAAAATAAGCATGTCATTACGTAACTGATATGACAAAGGGGAATTACTGTTGTCATGTGACATATTATCTTATCTCTTGATAATGAGAATAGACATAAGTACACTCCCAGATACAGGTAGCTCGATCTATCACAACTTACAGTATACTGTACTGTAGATTGACACTGTGTGTGGGCAAAAAACAGGCAGCAATAAAATCTTCTAGAAAGTGTCAAATCCAGTTTGTATCAACGATATCGTGTGCTATCAAATTTTCTTTGACAAAAAAATAGTATGCCCATATAGTCTTGATGTGCCTATTATAATTATTATGTTTAATATATTTATGAATGATGTGATGTCATAATGACTTTGATTATGTTCTCACACGGCAGCTAACAGTTAGCAGGATCCAGATCCTTCTAACCGTTAGCTGCCGTGCGTCCATGCAAGAAAATCCCGATCCGGATACCAACAATATGATGATCGAATCACTGGCCAATAAGAAACTGGAAATTGTAAATGCGTACGTGTGATTGGTTGATGATAGAAACGCCCTCAACTTGCTAAACGATAGCGGTATCCGGATACCGCTAACGGTTAGCCCTAAGCGATCGGGCGTTCTCACGCAGGTGCTAACGGTTAGCACTAACGGTTAACTCCCGATCCGGATACTAGGGCTGTCGTGAGAACCAGGCTATAATAGGCATGTCACATGTTTTTGTCAAATAGAATTTTATAGTGTGAATAGGGCTTTATGCTTACATGTTTCCCAAATCCATATGTTGCAGTCGCTGCTAACATTGGAAGGTCGTCGAAGAGCCTGAGAATAGTTCGGCATAAGTTTAGCTGTTGTGTGATCACACCAAAGTGTACGTTCATCGGACCACCTTGCTTTCCGAATGAAGAGAGTAGCATCGTAACATAGCTAGAAATTCGAATAATATTGTCCCTTCCACGATAACTTTCAAGAAGCTTTAGCGCCAACTTGATATACCTTGATTTACTGGTTGATTCCATGTTAAAATCTGATAGGAATAGTTACTATTTAAACATATTATAGGTGTCAAACATTCTGGAACATAGCTTCTTCTTTCTAGTTCTCAACTTTTCACTGGTACTACTGTTGTTTACATTTTATCAGAGGAATCCATTAACACATATAGGGACAAAAACTTTGTTAAAAAGTCAAGAAAACATGTAAACACAAAATATAGAGGCCTAAATATATATATATTTTTAAGGTAATGTTTTACTTGCTAAGTTTTAAGTTTGTGATTTAAAAAAAATACCTATGAAGTTCTATTTATTAGCTAATTGTTATTACTCACTCTTACTAATAATAAATGGATTATCCATTAACCTTTGACAACTATACAGCACATACTAAAACACGAAAATATATCAAGCGGTCTGTTAATATACTAGTTCGAGCGGATGCCAATACAGTATCTTGAACTTATATCTGTATACAATAATTAATAAAAAAAAAAAAAAAACCCCAAGAAGTAGTTATTTTAAGTTTGATGCTACTGTCATACGCAAGAAGAACTCATATCTGCGGTCGACTCGATATGGGATCCGCTCGACCAATGCCTCTCAAATTCGTATAGTAGTAGTTACCACCGCTGTTATAAACAATGAAATTTGGCAAGGTCGGAGTGAAAGTACTACAGTACTTTTAATAACACGTAGTGTACAAAATTTCTGATGTGGAACTTTCGTGCCGTAAGTTTGGCATACCTTATTTCTGTCTAATCTGCACTTATATATTTATCTGGTTACAGTATATTTTTATGCCTTCTGAGTTTCGTGTGTTTTGCTTCTCTCCTAGCTAGGTAGGCCATGCCATGGATTAATAGATAGGTCCATGGCTAGACTAGAGTAGTAGTAGGGCCTACCTCCTGGGCCTACGAATACAGATCATTTCGGTCGCGCTTCGTTTCGGTCGAGCCTCACTTCGGTTGCGCTTCATTTCGGTCGCGGTTTGTTTTCAATAAATATATCGAGCGCCAATGGAGTTGCGAAAACGCCAAATTTAATATAACTAGGCCTAATTATCATTGTAAGTTCGTCAATCGGTTTATCATACTTTTTAAAAAATTTATGTTTTGTTGTCTTTCTACTAAGTAACCAAATAGGCTACTTAAAAGCAAATAAAATGAGTACTATTATTACTAAACTAAATTTCAATTAATATTATGGTATTTATAGGTTATTTTCTAGTTTGTTGCATTCCTAGTACAATGAATACTCTTTTATCGGACGGTTTTTATTTTCGTTTTGTTATCGATCCTACGCTTCCTACTACATAAGAAATACAGCAAATAAAATGAATACTAAAAATTTGGTATTTCTCTTAGTACGGTACAGTATTGTTTTTTGATATGATATTATTTATAAAAATCAAACTTTTTATCAGGAAAAACCAGCCAACTCGTTATTTAAATTACTGTAACATTAGTTTATTAACAATTATTTTTATTAGTTTATTTTATTAAAGTTTATTATTGTTACTATATTACTGTATCAATTGGTGCTATTTTTATTTTTTTACAGAAACAACGCAGACGTTACAAAGTTGACCAAGTTTGAGATACATTTTTTTTTAATTGTTTGTTGCGATATTTATATTGATATAATTTTTATTATTATGCTTGAATGAAATGAAACCAGTAACTTCGAATCGTATGTGCTGGCTGCTGATCATGTTTATAAAATACAAAAATAAATGGATAATAAAATATATATTTGTTATATGATTCCATGTGTAATGTAAATAAATATGTATAAATTATATATAATATTATAATATATGGATAAATATATATATGTATGTGTATATAGGCCTATATATGTATATATATA